ATCTCGCAACCCTATGGGCCTACACAGCCTGTTACAGGGATAGATTTATTTTCTTCAATAAGATTCGAGTTTACCACGAGTGTGACGCCATGAAGTTCAGCCCTTCTTGAGAAGCCGCCAGTCGCTCAGCTACTAAAGAATTTCACATTTTATGGAACCCGGAAGTTAATTACCGTGTTCACAAGAGTCTTCTACTGGTCCCTATCCTGAGCCAGATCAATCCAGCCAGAACCATCCCATCATATCTCCTCAAGATAAGAGCATATTACAAGCATGGTGGATTAAATTGTGGCACACGATAGCGTAATTTGTTGAGGCACTATGTTACAAGCGTTAAGGTCGCGAGTTCGAATCTCTATGAGCTGGATTTTTTTTTTCAATTTACATTATCTTTCCAGCCGCGCTATGGGCGACTCAGCCTCTAATAGAAATGAGTTCCAGGAATCTTCCTTAGGGGGTAAAGGGCCGCCGGCGCGTAGGGCTGACAGCCTCACCGCCATCTGTGAGCCGATTGTCTAGAAACTGTGGGAGCCTCAACGTCTCAACACCCTATGGGCCTTCACTGCCTGTTACAGGAACAGCTTTTAAATGGTGCATTAAACTGAGGGATGATTTTATTGCAAGTAGATCACGTGACACTTTCCGAATAAAGATGAGAATGACATTAAAATACGCTACACAAAATGTTACAGGTTAGATAATATCCCGGTTAGGACAGATAACTCGGATCAGCAGTTCTGCCAACCCACCCGCGACGTTTGGTGTTAAGTAACTTTAGACCTTTACCTGTAGCAAGTGAACATAAAGACCAACGAAGCATGGAAAACAGCAAAGAACTCATTTGGAAAATGTACGTATGTATAACTCGTCTGACTAGTGAGTGTCGATTAGATGAAGGCACTAGTGGCCTGCAGAGAGACGAAGAGACAAGGAATTTGTTTCATCTAAGGTCTGTTCCTATTTCATCAATCAAATTGGGAAGAAATGAAGAAATTTGCCACTAACACTCTTCTATCGTTCAGGACCGGTCTAAAAAACCTAGTTTAATTGCCGTGGGGATCCGTTGCGCTGACCACGTGACACCCTCTATCCGCAAAAGGTGGCACTAACTTCACCTACAAGCGTCGGTCGCTCGGTCGGTATAGTTCGCTTGCGGACTACAGGCCACGGAGTTTGTTTTTGTATCGTTCATGATATACTGCAAATTCGTTTTTTTATTGTTTTTGCTGCTTCTGATGTTTCTATTGTAAACATGGAGACTCTATAGGTAATTGGAGTGTATTGAAAGATAACGTTTTATCTTTAGTAGGAAACATACTTTTATAACACCCAAGACGAGATAATAATAAATCATGGAAACCTGCAGTTGCAGCAGCCGAGACAAATAAATTCTGTCACTCGTGCATCGAAATTGGGAAAAGAAAATCAAGGTATATTTGGTTCAGGAAATTCCACAGGAACCGAACACGCTGACGATATAGCGGGAAAGGTGTGTTCAGAATACAATAAAGATCAGCGGATGTGTTCATAACTGATTATAGCTATGAAAGTGTACAGTGAGTTCCACTTATGTTTTCCCTTCTCCAAATACTTATGTGATTCTTTTCCACATGATATATGCTGTACGTTATTCCATCTTGGTGGGGCATCAATTAATCTCTTGCCATAACGTTATTCAGTCTTCGAAAACACGGTACATAACGTTTCCATTGATTAGCGAAGGTAAAATATAAAGTTATTCCTGTCCTTAATTAATTCAGCACCACGTCATGAAGACGTATGGGGTATTGAAGATATAAATTCACCATTCTTGACCATGGCACTAGATGGAGGTGAGTGGTCAGTTTCACGCCTCTGATACTTTACCCCCGGGGAAAGAGCCCCCATTGTATAGGTGGTTGCGCGGACCCCAAAGCCGGTCTGGACCTTATATACCTTCCATACTCATAGAACCAATGCTGTAGAAAGCTAAAGAACTTCAACATGCGCGCCTTTTTTAGCACGTAAATTTTGAAAACTACAGACCATGGAAACCCCGAAAATAATTTAGAATTACTCTGTATTTAGAAATATAGTGTAATAAGTTGCACAGAAGAACTAGTTCTAATGCATTTAAGGTACTTGGAAATAATTTAACAGTCTGAGCTTCGATATGATTTATCATTGCCCAGTAAATGTGCTTTATAAACGGCGAGTTACTACAAGTCTATACCGAACGTCATCCGATCGGTTTCTTCACTGATACTTAAAAAAAAACTCCGTGATTTTAGTCCGCAAGCGAACTATACAGACCGAGCGACCGCAGCTTGTCGGCGAAGTTAGTGCCAACTTTTGCCGATAGAAAGTGTCGCGTGGTCAGCTCAACGGATCCCCACGGCCATTAATCTCGGTTTTCTAGACCGGAGCCGCTATTACCTTGAAATATCTCCTCGATTATCCTCACGAGGCTGAGTGGACCCCGTTCCAGACCCACTACTTCTCAGAAAATCTGGTAGCGCCGGGAATCAAACCCGAGACCTCCGGATCTGTAGCCAGGAACTCTGACCACCAGACCGCAAAGGCGGTCTCTGTCTTAGTTAATGTATCTATATACTATTTATTGTACAAATGAAGTGACCGAAATATCACATAGCGTTACTTGTACATAACTTAATACATATGTTTATATCAGGAGCCAGTATCTTACGCTCCTCTTGCTCGCACGATGTTTTGGCCTAGTTACACTATTTTCGAACAGATGTCTGTAGCGGCAATATCGTAGTTAAAAGAAACGTATTTTCTGGTATGTGAAATACAAGGTCCTCACGCAATGATTATGAAAAGATAGTTGTCTTTTGCGATGCGGTACCGTGTAGTCTGATAGAGGTTTACAAGCTGAAGATGGAGGCAGTATGTTCCTCCGAAACTCCTGTAAACTTCTACCAGACTACACACCATCACATCCCAGAAGATAATTCTATCCATTATCTTCTGTTAGTCTGAAGTATGATTTATTTCAACCGTCTTCCAGTGCATACACTCATCTATCTCACTCCTCTCTCTCGTACTACATGTTTCGGCACAAAAGTGCCATCTTCAGGTGCTTATTCGATTTACGTTAAACTAGTTCACTGCATGCCTTGCCGTCTTCATATTAAAATAACTAAAATATATATTTATCATATATATTGATAAATATTAAATATTAAAATTGTTCAGGATTTTTCATCCCTACGTCGTATCTCACTACGCGAGTCACAACTATCCTCTTCTGTCGGAGCACTCTTTCTACTTTCGTGTGTGTATTGTGTCTTGCTCCTGTGACTGCGTGTGTTATACTGCGTGTGATTATAACACACGCAGTCACAGGAGCAAGACACAATTCAAAGCACAATACACACACGAAAGTAGAAAGAGTGCTCCGACAGAAGAGGATAGGTGTGACTNGATTTAAATCAGTGCAACAGGACGCTAAAATATAACATTAGTCTGAAGTAATTTTATGTTTTGCTAACAAGTTAATTATTGTGACTGTTTAGGTTATGTCGAATTAGCTTAATTTACTTTAAGTTACGCTTGTAGTGCGTCTATAGTCCTAATAAAACACTGAAGAAATTCCATGACATATAAAACTACACCAGGGGTGTGATACCATGACCTCTTAAAAGAAAACATAAATTTACAAACCCCGTCAGCCAGCGAGAATTGCAGCTCTGCACATTGTTGCTTGTCATTATCAGGCTGTACGGTGACAGCAGGAACCTAAATAGCTTTACAGCCTCATTACCAGGGCCCGGATTTTGATGGCATGTCATCTTTTTTCCTTGTATCCTATGCGATGCTCTTAAATATATAAATCTCGGATATGAGCTGCTGGTTACAGAAATGTAAATTTTATAGGTTTTTTGTCATCTTTTGACATTATTAGGTTTAAGGTCATTTTTTCATTTTGGGGGTAATTTTTTGGACTTTTAAGGGTATTTCTTGTCATTTTTGGCCATTTTAGAGAATTTTTCTTCATATGTTTTCTGAAATGTGAATAATATGGAAGCGAAGTTTTCTTTCTCTTTCTCCTTTACGTCATTTTTCTGGATTTTTCGGTCATTTTGTAGGTCATTTTTTAAATAATTTCAGGTCATCAAAATCCGGGCCCTGCATATTATATTTTTGGGTCATATTTTAGGTAATTTTTCTGGATTTTTCGGTCATTTTTTAAATATATTCAGGTCATCAAAATCCGGGCCCTGCTCATTACACTACAGCAAGCTATAAAATGTTCCTGTACAGTCACGAAAAGTGCAGTTCTGCACATTGTTGCTGGTCCCTATCAGGCTGTACGGTGACAGCAGGAACCTAAATGGCTTTTCAGCCTCTATATAAAACTACAGTAAGCTATAGAATATTTCTGTAGTCACGAAAAAGTCGTGATATATTTTGGCATCACGAGCGACATTTTTCGAAACAAAACTGTACGTGAATATAACAATATTTTAAGTAATAACTGAGAACCCAGCAGCAATCCCCCCCCTCCTTAGAACTGTCCGTGATTCAGTGGGGGGGGGGAGGTCGTGACCAATAATTTGCTAGAGCACGCACTCTGCTGTTTGCTAAAGAGGGTCACAGGTTTTTCTGATCGATAATGTACTTCCAGGTTTCATAAAAAGCAAGAACGTTCTTGCCTATTAGCTTCTCAAAAAGGACTCCTGCTGAAGTGGCTCAGGAATATGGTTGCATTACTGTAAATATATTCGTCTGTTTAATACTTCTTGTGGTCCCGGTATGTTTACATAAAATTTAAACTGGAAACCCCAGAAATATGGACACATTGTAATAGGGTTCTACTATCTCTTCTGTGAAGTTCAAATAAGATAATTTAGTTCTTCGGAATCAGCCATTTGCCTTATTCGACAGATGAAGTTGGACAGACAATTAATCTAGCCAACTTTCATGAAGAAGTTTGAGAAACACTGGATAAATTAAAAAAAAAAATAACAAGAATCAAAGAGCGAGTTAACACATGCCTGAAGATGGTCCAGCAAGGCTTCCAGTCCTCTGTCGCTCACACTGGAACACCGGAGGCTTAGAGAATGTACATGCTTGGCAGCCAATGGGAAAGAATGTACTAAGTCCAGGGCATCCTCGTCTGTAGCCCCTAAGAGTGAGACCGCGTGGAACCCTCTTCTGAGAAGCGAAGAGTACAGCCTAGCCCTCTCCGGGCAAGGGGCAGCTCTGAGCTCCCTACACCTCAGGACGGGTATCAGTCCGGCCCAGTACCTAGGGGTCCTATACAGCACATCCCTCCACTTCCCACACACCTGAGCCAAGGTTCGACGTTCACCAGCCGTAAAATAGAGGAAAAACTTAGACAGAAAACGTTCATCCAATATCAGTTGCTCCCATGTCAAATAGTGCGGTAAAGAAACATTGGCTGAAGCTGTTGTTGCTGTGCTTTGGTTCACAGCGGGACCCGATATACGTCGTGTAACTTGCGGGGTCACTAGGACGCTGTTTCCATTCACTGCTGAGGAAGCTGCTTTCGAACTACGACCCGACAGCAAACGTGACGGTTTTTCAGGTGCCCCAACACCCCCACCACAGGATGCCACATTGTTTGAATTACTCCCTCCACAGAACACATTTGTAACTCGTTCCATGACGCTAGTTTTACCACCGCCTCCATGACCTCCGGTGTCACCCACATTACTTGTGGCAGCGGTAGATGAATTGCTGCGGTGATGTTTACTGCTCCGCAAACCTAATCCATTTATTCTCTTAGACAGTTCTGCACTTGCTCTTTCAACAACACCTTGAGCTGAGATAGATGACATGTCTTCATCAAACGTCACGATTGTCCTGAAGATGATGAAGAAAGCCTAACAGTTATTGTGAAGAGTGTTGACGTCTCCATCACCATCCGAAAATTCTTCCTCCGGTGGTGAGTCAGCACCACTGACACCCCTTGATAATAATAACAATAACGAAATGCGCGATTACGGTGACCCCTTTCGGGACCTCACAGTACCATCCACGTCCACCTTCGGGTGGGCTGGTCTCTCTTCCTGCTTTCTTCACGAGGGACGGCTGTATACTGAAGACGAAGTTGCACCTCTATAATCCGAACAGTCCAGCCCCCTCATCACCCACTCCCGCCCCTGTTCCAACCAGTCGATGCCGACAGGATAAGAGAGGCCTCCCCGCTAGTTCATGCGCAGAACATGTCGGCGCAAGTCGCATATACAGTGTGTGTGTGTGTGTGTGTGTGTGCGTGTGCCGCATGGAACCGATCGATGTGCATGTGTGTATCGATTATTTTCAGTTCCTAACTTCCTTCTTACTTCAGACAGGCCCCCACCACACCATTTTAAGTCACAGCTTCAAGACCAGCTCTCGTTTGTCTTCTAATCATTTGTTCCTCTCTGTCGTGCACCTGCTACAGTTCGTCACTATAGCCCAAAATAGAGCATATACAAGTCAACTGTGAGCCCAGAGAAACAAGCAATTTAACCTCCATACAAAATGGCGTATTCACGATGTTCACATTCCATGGCCTTTCGAATTCTGGTCAGATTTGGCGCGATGTGTGCATATCAATGTTGTAAGCAAATGACTAAATATATTACAATAAAAACAACTTTTTTTGAACCCGTATTGTGTTATTAAAGCTTTCGACAAAATTTCAATACTTCACCGCTATTCAAATTTTGGGTGGAAAGTACACAATTGGAAGCGGGTAATAAGGGACGTGGACGTATATTTATTTGTGTGTTCCAATATTCCGCCCATATACCGTTGAATGGTTTGGTGGTAGATGAATGATGGCTGGAAGTGACTGCTCATGGCTTAATTGAAGCAATATCCTAGTATGTGCTAAGAAAAACAGGAAACCTCAGGATTGGCGAGGCCCAGCCAAGATTCGAACTGTGAACTTCCTGAATATGAAAAACAGAAAAACCTCAGGATTGGCGACGCCCAGCCAAGATTCGAACTGTGAACTTCCTGAATATGAATCAAGAAGGTTAGAACTATCCAAACCTATTCAGTGTGGAGGTGAAACGCCACCCATTTCAGTCTTGCCTATTGAGGGTAGTCAGCATTGTGCTCAAATTGTTTTTACCTTGAGGGAAAAAACCCCACTGGGTAGGAAACTGCTTGGATGCCAAAGACTCGCTTATCGCATATAATAAATAATATTGTGTACATACACAAATTTCAGTGCCTTTACATCATTCACACATACCCAGTACCAAATGGTAAAATTATTAAACCAGTATTTGAATTTCCCACCAGCACATAAATACCAGATGTATGTTGGGATACATAAAACGTTCTGATAATGACATAACAGTCTACATCACTCACAATAGTGCATCCTAGTTTGAGGAGGTCAAGAACAGTAACAAACAGATAAATACCAGTGACCTCAATATTTGAACCCTAGCCAGTTACAGATATCATTAAACTTCTGACTGAAACAATCTATACCATTAAAATCCTGGATGTAAGTAATCATAGACATTTTGCTAATACAATTAAATGTTTTTAAGTCAATCAACATAAATCTTTTTCTCTGAATCAGCATTTTACCTACCAATGATTTAATCTTGTGCATTTATTCACTCCTTTCTCCACCATGTTAAAAAAATTTAAAACACATTTTTTCCTTACACTTCTGTACCTTTTTATCAAGAATTCTAAGTGGCATTTCATCAGCAATACATACATATCTCAGAACAACAACTTCGCTAAGGGAAAGACATGTAAGTTACTGAGGCATATCACTCATTTCCAAAAGAGGGCTGTCAAATTAAAAATACAAGGGAATGTGCACATTCTGCCTTTTTATTTTTCACTTACACTTCTTACATTTGTCATCACTTTTTACAAGAGTAACTGATTTGTGATTTGGTGTCCAAGGTCCACGACTTTCATTGGCATAAAAATCCATAGGATAATTCTGTTCATCAGCTTGAAATTCTGCCTCGCGAAGTGCAATGGCTCCTTCATATGGTGTCAGCAGTGGTTTATCAAAAGCCTTGCCCCAGTCTATGGAAAGTCGTGGACAAGCAACTTGTATCCAGGCTCCAATATCAGGGAACAAACGCAGTTTATCCGGGAAAATTTCCGATAACAAAACAACTACACCTTCTTTAGATAGTTTTGTTAACCGACCCTGAAAAATTACATGTAATGATTTCATAGTCATTATTAAGAATTATCCTGCAATGGAAACATGTGAACTATTACAACAGAAGAATGTGAAAGCTGGGGATTAACTGCCACAGTAACACCACGTGTAGCTGAGTTTGCATCAACTCATCACTGAGATAGTCTAAAGAGGGAATTTTCAATGGGTGCATCCTGTTGTGTCAATTATATAAAATTCTTTAGTAGAATCCGTCACAACACAACAACAAATCTGCAATCTGTCTTCCTACCAGACCAGACATAATACATGTAAAATGAGGTACCCATCAAAAAAGCAAAGAATACTGCATGCATATCAATGGGCCTCCAAGTAGTTAAACAACTTCATACGTGTATATGACAAGAAAACTATTGCCATATGTCCACAAAAACAAGAAATACAACATAACAATACGACTACAACAACATATAAAATAAGACATATTACATGTACAGCTTTCAATTATATTTTTAATTGTATAACTTATTCTATTAAAAGATCTTTATCTTTTGTTGTATTTTATATTTTGTATTATTATATTGTGATATATTCATTAAGAATCCAGCACTACTTACCAATCATATAAAATGCAGTTCAATAGTTTAAGAATGTGGTAATTGTGTATTTGCCTTATGATGGCTTTCTAAAAAACTGAAACATGTAGCTAAATACTATTAAACATTAACTGTTTCATTGTGATTGATTCTAATAAAGAATTTTACTAAAGTGGAAATTGTCATATTTTCTCCTGACTCCATGCCTATGAAGTCTTAATTCTGGAAAGTTCAGGTTGCAGTCTTCTAGGATTTGAAGCTGAGAGCCTGGAAGGCTAGTTCTTTTCAGATTAATATTCTCAAGGAGGTGGTCTACCTTACCTGGTCATGCACCAAAAATGAATATAAATTTCCAGAATTTTTGTAGTTTAGCTAAAAATACCAATGTTTTAGTGGAACTTGCTGCATTCTTCACAGTTTACATATCTACCAAACTACATGGTGTCACATGCCACAAGACCATGAACTTAATACGAATCACTGTAAGAACTTCAAATCTCATATTCTGAGAAACTGCTTCATGGTTTATTTAATAACACTTCATGAATGCAAACATTACATAGCACCAATCATTCTATTAATCTCTTTCTATTAAACTTCAATATTTAAAATATAATGAATGTGCGTAGAGGGAAGAAAACAATGTTGATAATCGTGCAGAAACAGGGAAAGTCTCAGTTCACTGTTCATTATGAAAGTGCAAAATCCTAATTTAAAGTTTCTCCATAGGCAATAGATTTAAACACTAACTTGAAGTAGATGAGCCCTTCTTGAGAAGCCACAAGTTGTGCAGCCACTCAAGAACTTCCTAGCATTTTATGGAACCTGAAGCTTCATTACCATGATCAAAAGAGCCCTCCACTGGTCCTTATCCTCAGCCAGATCAATCCAATCCATACCACCCTTTCCTATCTCTCTATAATCCATTTTAATACCCACCCACCTATATCTTTGTCTTCCTAGTGGTCTATTTCCTTCTGGCTTTACCACTAATATCATACATCTCCCCCATTCCTGCTACATTCCCTGCCCATCTCATCCTCCTTGACTTGATCATTAAACACTAAACTGAGAAAAAGTTAAATTAAGGTAATTTAGAAATAAGATTATGGTACTGGAAACATACACACTGAACACTAAATAGGGGAGAATCTAATACTGAGAACACAAAATGGCAATTTATCTCTCCTAATAACACACTAGAGACATAAACCAGTACATAATTTTACTGTTGTGCATTACTGGCAAATCAGACAGAAAACAGACTGCAGCAAAAAACTAAAGTCTTCTTTCTGCTATTACTAATGACATGAACATCAACAGAGAAGTAAATATATAATTTACTACAAAGAGAAAATTTCATACAAGCTAAAATAAAACATAAGATAACAATCTTCTGGAGTGGGATGCCATACAGTCTAGAAAAAAATCACTGATGTTTCAGAGGATGATCCTGCTTCCATCTCCAAGACTGAAAATAAGCCAGTCATCACAGAATAAACCTCAATTTCAACAGAACATCCTTCAACTCCAAATAATACTGCATTACACCATTCTAATTTGGTTTGTGTGTTCCATTTTTATGTATACCTGAAAGTGTTCCATAACTTTAGTACTCCCCTGGCGGCCAAGAGTTCCAAGGATTAGACCAAATCTTGAAGCATTGCTTGCCTCACTAATTGCTTGTTTCCTTACAGTCTGCATTTCAATGTGACCATAGAATTCTTCTGTAAACTTTTTGTCATATGGATCATACCTGTAAGTAAAATAAGACAAATTCATGTGAAATTAAAAAATATCATGGTTATAGTGCTGCAACATCCAACACAAGAATTATATTAAATTCACTCCCCTACAAATTATTTGCATCAATTACTGGTATCTCACGAGGAATGTACATTTCTATACATTACTCACTGACTGTTTCAAACTACTATTTGAACTTCATCCATTACCTGGGTTTATTAAAACCACTACATTTTGGAAACTGCTTCTATTTCTGTCTTCAGGCGAACAGGATACAATAGAAAACCTGCTCCGTTGGGCCCCACAGTACTGGTAGTCTTAAACAACGGACCAGCAGCTTTGCTAAGAGGGCCGACACAGTAGGTTTCCTTTCACACCCCGTTCACCTGAAGATGCAAACATAATCAATTTTGAAAATATGTGCATTGGTTTTAGCAAATAAGACAACAGACAAAGTCCAAAAAAAAAAAATAGTTTTTAAATATGTCATACCAATGCCAAAAAGATTATTTGTATAGTTTAGAAATCACTACATTACAGTTGATACGTCAATTAAACATGATGAATATATAGACAATGTGAGGTTTGGGATTCTGACATCCTATACTGGGTAGTTTCATAGATACATATCAATATTTTGGAACATTTGCACATATCTACTGAACTACGGGGCATCACAACCCAGAAGACTATAATGTTGATGTAAGGACTATTGTGCACAACATTTACATGTTAATTTTAGGTATCCATTGGTTCAGAAGTCCTGGGATGGGTGTGACTGACTAAGAATGCAGAATAAAGTTGTTGCATTATGCAAGACAGAATAAGAGGGAAATTATATTTTTCATAGGATTACACGTGGCATTCATATTAACTTTGTTGACTGCTAGGCCTAACTATTCCCACCTAGTGAAAGGACTGCACCTTCTTAAATAAATCCAGGAAAAAGTTTAGAGCAAAATTACATAAACAAAAACTGGGGATCCTTGACTGGACTCAGGCAAGCAAAGGGAGCTGAGAGTGTGATGGAACTGTTGAAGTTAAACAGGAACCAGCTACGATGGGTGGTGGGACTACTTACAGGACACCTCTTCAAACTGGGACTAAGTGATAGTTCCACTTGTGAGAGGTGTCAAGAAGAAAATGAAACAGCCACACATATCCTGTGTGAATGTGAGGCCTTAGCTTATTATTATTATTATTGTGTTTTCCCCAGTACTTGCCTGTAATTTGTCTTTGACTTATAATGTGTTTGTCTATAATGTAATTCTCCCTCGTTGGTGTCTCCACCTTATCGTGGTGAGGGGGTTTGAGTATGCCAAGGACCCTGAGAGCTATACCAGCGGTAGCGTAGCTACTGGCAGGGCCTCCCTTGCTGGACAGGTCAAAGGGTAGGCATCAGACGAAGAGAGACACCAAAAACTGATGCCGGAAGCAGCGTCATCAGTAGCGACTTGAAGCACAGAGCAAATGATGCTCGAGATGGTTCAAGTTCGTATAGCAGCAGGCGTGACCAGAGTGGTTTGAACGGCTGCTGTACTGCGATGTGGAAAGCAAATGGAAAAACTACCACATTATCACTTTTCCTGGATAGTCTCTTTCCAAAAACAGAGATACCATATATGCGAGATGTTTCCTCTGGAGGCAAAACAATCCGGAGGTAAACTACTCCCCCAATCGGATCTCCGGGGGGGAGTGTTTCTAGAGGAAATGTCATGCAGGCGTTACAACAAGAAAAAGTGCGAAGATCAGAAGAAACAGCATGGATACAAGATTGGAACATGGAATGTCAGGACCTTGAATCAAGCAGGAAAATTGGAGAATTTGAAAACGGAAATGCAGAAGAATGAAGTGTCTGTGCTAGGTGTCAGCGAAGTGCGGTGGAAAGGACAAGGTGAAATAAGAAGCGGTGATTATACAGTGTATTATTCCGGAGGTGAACGGGCTGAAAGAGGTGTGGCAATAGTGGTGCATAAAAGTGTAGTGAGGAGTGTTGTTAAGAAGATTGCTTGTAATGACAGAATTATTGCTCTGAAGTTAAAGGCGGAACCGGTAGATATACTGATTATACAAGTGTACATGCCAACATCAGAGTATGAAGATGATGAAGTGGAAAAAGTGTATGACACAATTGAAGAAATTCTTCAGGAAGATGGAAGAGGAGACACAAACAGCATCATATTGGGAGACTGGAACAGCATTGTTGGAGATGAACCATATCAGAATATTGTTGGATCACATGGACTAGGAAGACGGAATCACAGAGGTCAAATGCTTATTGACTTTTGTGAACGAAATGGATTGATTGTTACCAACACTTGGTTCAAGAAGCCAAAGAGAAGAATTTACACATGGAAGGCACCTGGGGATTGGAAGAGGCATCAGCTGGACTACATCCTTGTGAAACATCGATTCAGAAACAGTGTGAAGGATGTGAAGACGCTTCCTGGGGCAGACATTGACTCTGACCACAACTTGCTGGTTGCCAAGTTCCGAACCAGGTTGAAGAAAATTATAGGATTTCGAAAGCGCAGACCCAGATGGGATTTGGAGAAGTTATATGCTCAAAGACAAAGCGTGCAAGAGACTCTAGAAGAGAAACTCGGTGCAATTGAAGGTGAAAGCGGAAATGCTGAAGCGCAGTGGAACGATATAAAAGAATGCATGTTAGATACTATCAGTGATTTGGTAGGTAAAGTTGAGAAGATAGCAAGAAAACCATGGGTTACACAGGAGATGATGAGTAAAATGGAGGAGCGAAGGAAATGGAAGAATGTCAACAATGAAGAAGGCAGGAGGAAATACAGGAGACTGAGGAATGAATTGAAAAGAGCCACGGACAGGGCCAAAAAGGAATATCTTGAGAAGATATGTAATGAGATTATGGAATTTCAAAGAACAGGCCGTTATGATTTGATGTACATGAAGACAAAAGAACTAGGATGGAAAGAGAATCATGGGATTCAAAATGTTGGCATCGAAGACTCCCAGGGGAATAGAATAGTAGATCAGAGGCAAGTGCTGAAAATTTGGGAAAATTATATTTCAGAACTATATGATCGACCTAATCGGCCAGAAACCTTAGAAGTTGAACCGGAAGAAGAAGTAGATACAGACGAGAAAGGACCATATATTTTACAAAGTGAGGTGGAAAAAGCTATCAAGGAAATGAGGAAGGGAAAGGCTACAGGAGATGATGATGTACCTGGAGATGTGCTCAAGTTACTGGGAGAAGGTGGTTTGAAAACACTGACAAAACTAATGAACACCATATATGAAAGTGGAGAGTGGCCCAAGGACTTTACAGAAGTTACAATGATTGCCTTAAAGAAAAAGACAAAAGCTACAAAATGCAGCGACCATCGCACAATAAGTCTTATTGCACATACAGCAAAGATAATAGCAAAGATACTTAAAAGAAGAATTGAAAGGAAAATAGAGGATGTACTTGGAGAAGATCAGTTTGGATTTAGAAGAGGAAAAGGAACCAGGGATGCAATTGGGATGATGAGAATTATAGCGGAACGAACTTTGGAGATAGATGAAGAACTGTGTGTTTGCTTCATAGACTGGCAGAAGGCATTTGACCGGGTAAACTGGACCAAATTAATGCAGATCCTGAAAGAAACAGGTATCGATTGGCATGAAAGAAGATTGATTAGCAAATTGTACATGGATCAGAAAGTTAGAGTACGACTGGACAGGGGGGAGACAGGAAGTGTGCAGATTGGAAGAGGAGTTCGACAAGGATGCTGTTTATCACCAATTCTGTTCAACTTGTACAGCGAATGCCTTACCAAGGAAGCTCTGGATGGGCTCGGTGACTTCAAAGTAGGAGGGCAAATTATTCAAACTGTGAAATATGCAGATGACCTTGTGTTAATGGCTAAGGAAGAAACTGTGCTACAGGGCATGATTGATAGACTAATTGAAATTGGAAGGTGCTATGGCATGGAAATGAATGTGGAGAAAACAAAAGTAATGAAAATTTCGAGACAACCAACCCCAGTCACAATAAAGATAGACCAAAAACAACTGGAGAATGTGAAATGTTTTAAATATTTGGGTAGCTTGTTAACAGATGATGGAAGGTGTACTTGTGAAATTAAATCCAGGATTGCCATGGCAAAAGCTGCATTTAGCAAGAAGAAGAATCTTTTTACCAGCAAATTGGACTTAAATTTGAGGAAGAAACTAGTGAAATGCTACATTTGGAGCATAGCTCTGTATGGGGCTGAAACATGGACACTTAGGGCAGTAGATCAGAAACATCTGGAAAGTTTCGAAATGTGGTGTTGGAGAAGAATGGAGAAGATCAGTTGGACCGATTATGTGAGAAATGAAGAAGTGTTAATTAGAGTCAGTGAGCAGAGGAATATCCTACATGAAATAAGAAAACGGAAGGCTAATTGGATTGGTCATGTTTTACGCAGAAACTGCCTTCTAAAAGAAGCTATCGAAGGAAAGATAGATGGGCGGATAGAAGTGACAAGAAGACGAGGAAGAAGACGTAAGAAGATGCTGGATGACCTTGGGGACAGAAGAGGATACTGTCATTTGAAGGAGAAAGCTCTAGATCGCATTAAGTGGAGGAATTGTTTTGAAAGAGACTGTGGACCTGTCGTCTTGACAGATTACTGATGCTGATGATGATGATGATGATGATAATGTAATTACTTTCATCTACACTGTGCTCTGTCTGTAATTGGCCTTGGGGCTGTTGACTTGGCACATAAATAATAAAGAATTGAATTGAATTATTATTTCTTCCTTATTCCATTACATCTATAGTAAGCTAAAGCCTTAGATACAGAATTGTGTCAATTTATCTTGCTAATACTATCAAGCAATTGTCAAAAAGACTTATAATATATGACACTGTTTGTTTACATCATAATACAATTACTCTCTAGCACAATACAGTCAAAATTATCATTTAAAATAAAAATTTAAGATAAAAGTTTCCATCAAAAGTAACAGAATATTTTGGTCCTATAGTTTTAACATACA